AAACCAACACCTTTTAATTCTAAGAGAAAAAGTTTTAATCGGGACATTGACATTGGGTGTCAGAAAATATGTTTTATCTTAGGTCATATTCTCAATGTGCAGATTAATGAAAGAGTTTGAAGGCTATAGTGATGTGGTATGATGCCAATTATAATCTGCAGTGAGTCGATGTGACGTGGATAAAAGTAATTTCGTGCATTTTGTAAATTCTGTTCGATGACACTGTATCTATTTTACGAACATTGCGTGATTCAATGAGGACATTGACCGGACTGTCCGGGGAGTGTGTGACATTCGACCAGAATGTGCCAAAATGCAATCTCTGCAGATTTCGAAATTTTAGCAGTGAACCTTCCGAGTTAATGATTTTGAAGGATTAACGACGTTATTCGGATGATTAGCAGAACGGTGAAGGTCAAGATATTCCCGTATTTTAAAATTTTAAATTTTCGAAGTGATGACGTAACATTTCTGAGAAACGTCAGAAACGGCCATTTTGGCAGAAAAGCTAAAAGGAAACAGAACAATATTAATAGCGATTGCGAGAAGAACGGAAATTGTGGTCAAGAAACGACAACAAATCAAGGAGTTGACAGAGAACGTTCCGAGTTGCAACTATTGTGTCGCTACAATAGTTGCAAGGCCGTTGCGAACAACGGTGAAGGGTGGAAGACAGCCTTCCGGATTACGGAAAAGTCAAGTTTAACGTGCTTGATTCAGTGGATTCAAGAATCCGGAAGGGTTTCGGGACTGAAACTTTTATCCTTTTATATAAATTTTTAGCTTCCTGTCATGTCCTGAGTTGAATTTAATTAACAACTAGATTCATTTTGATAAGGATGAGAAGCTAGGAGTTGGGGGAAAAGGTTGATCCATCTTCGATGGAGATGATGATTTTTATCTACTTAACAAAAACAATAGTAATACAGTAAATAGTAGTAACCCTGTTTTTAGGAGTGACCTCGTGGTCTGGGGATACTGAGACCCAGCCATGAGCTCACTATTTCTGCATGTAATCCACTTAATTTGAGTGTTTTGACCGAAGCCGAAAGCAGTAACGTTTTTGTCGACCCGATGTTGGAAAAGACCACCGAAAAGTACTGGCTTGGTAGAGACAATGAAAAGCATGTAAAGCTCTGTTTAGACGTTATCCAGTCGTCTTAGGACTTAGTTTTATTTTCCGTCGATATGTATCTTCCGGGCGAATGTTACAAAAATACTTTTGTCCCCAAAATCGAGATTAAACTTCTAATTCAAGGTCAAACTTCCAAATATGACCAACTGGCACAGAACTTCTTCGATACGAAGTACCAGCAACATGACACAGAAACTTGGAAGATATGAAGTGCAGTCAGCTTTAACTTAATTGGGATAACAACCCTGTGGCCTTGAGCCGAAACCATATTAATAATCATAATCATAATAATCATAATAGTAATAGTAATAGTAATATTGAAGAAATTTTTGCTAAAACGATTTCGCAACTATGTGCATCGTCAGGATTTTCACAATAAATTACTCTAAATGACGATAAAACATCAATTTACAAATGTTATTTACAATAAATCACATACAATTTGGTTCTAAACCATCATGATAAAAAATTAGCCAATCACAGTTGACCTCTAAATTACCATTAAGATTGAAATACTTTTAACCTCTAAAATTAATTAAACATTTTAAAATTAGTTTGTCTGGAAGTTTCTGAGTCATAATTTTGATTTAGACATGTACGTTTTGAATAAAAAACGAAAAATATTTTGGGACTAAATTTTCAGTGTTAACTCCCTGCTCCTAAACTCATCGCGCTTGTTCAAGCCCGGTTTCTCTTTCGTGATATGTATTGCCTCTAGTGTTAGCAATTTTGTTTGGTTGTTTGACCTATCTATAATTTCCCAACTAAGATCTGCGCTATTTCCCTCAAGTTGGCATTGCTGAAGGTGGATGCCTACCGGTGAGTCTGCTTTCTAATGTTCCTCAATTCTAGTGGTCAAATGTCGAACAGTTTGTCCAACATAGGTGGAAGTGCATCCACTACATGACAGTTTATAAACCACTCTTGACTTGAGGTCATTAGAAAATGCTGACTTCAGTGATGGTAAACATGATTGCAGTTTTCTTGTGGTGAAAACCACTTGAACGTTAGTTAATTTTCGTAACCTGTTAGCAAAATATTGGCTCTGGTTACCTCTATATTGCACCATCAGCATTGGGGGCTTCACATCCTTTGGTGATTGAACTGACAAACCCCTGTCACTATCCAGGGGCTTGCCCTTACCCTCGATGATCTTGCACAAGGCGTCTGAAGCCACCTTTGCGGACCAATTTTCAGGGTACTGATTTGCAGCCATTGCGCCCTATTAGTTTCCATAGCCTTATCAAATTGCTCCCAGCTAGATGCACTCCTAAAAACCCTGTGTACAGTGCCTTGGATAACACTACGCTTATACTGAGTTGGGGCGCAGCTTCTATAGTTCAGTATAGTCCCTGTATCTGTTGGTTTTTGATACCAACTGCAAGTTACACGCCTACCCTGCGATACATTTATGTTCAAATCCAGGACCGGCAAATTCCCCTCCGAATTAGTTTTCTCTAGAGTGAACTGCAAATTTGGATGAAGAGAATTGGCGGCATCGAGAAGACAACTCGTCTCCCCTCTGACTGTTCTAACAATGTCATCCACATAGCTGAGGAACAATTTCACCTGGGGAGTATCCTTCTCCTTGTTCTTAGCTTGGCAGCAGCTTTCACAGTACCAGACTATCTCGGTTATTGATGCGTATACGCCATCGGATATTCTTCCGCGTTTTAGATGATACCAGTTTCGGCAACTCTCGCATTCAACCCCCTTTGATCTATATGTGATTTTCCTGCTGCAACATGGGCACGAGCCGTTTCTGTCATTAACTTGCTGTACCCCCGTTCCCACCGGTATTTGTTGTCGTAGAGCAAATTCGTATTCTTTCAGCCATAAATTTGCCAGAATTACAGCGAGGGACGCGCCCATTGCTAAACCATCAACTTGTACATACCATGAATCATTACACTTGAAATATACTTTGCTGACCGCCATATTCAAAAGCCTTTTCATGGTTGCTCTTTGAATTTCAAGAGCAGACTCCTGGCTGAACAGCTTCTGTGAAGCAATTTCAATTGCCTCCTTCAGGGGAACGTTGGTGTACAAACTTTTCACATCAAGAGATATTATGGTTTGATCCGGATCTAGAGCAATGTTTTCTATTTTTTCTCTAGCCTCTTTAGTATTGGTTTCTATGTTTGCTCCATCGATGTTGTCAAAAACTTTGCAAGCATTTTGTTAAGATTCTCATACGAGCTGCCGGGAAGTGATAGTACAGGTCGTAGGGGTGTCTCATCCTTGTGTACCTTAGCTAAACCGTACAAACGGGCGGGTTGCCCCCCTGTTGATCTCATCTTTGAATATAAATGATCACTTATCTCGTCTCTTTTGTTCATGGCTAGTAATTCTCAATAATTCAGGCAGTTCAATATTATCAAGTACCTTAACTGATCGCTCATTTCTCCCTCCAAGAGGTTTATCTTGTCTCTCGGACAGTTTTTCTAACTTTTTTCTATGGTTTTCTGATGTTGTCTTTAAGCTTGCCTCAACTTGACGCCTCACGAATCGGAAAATGGATGCCCACCACTGTTTGTCAATTTCTTTTTGCACCAGTGATCTTGCTTTCCTTAGCATCTCCTCGTACCTTTTCCTATCCTCATTTGCCCTAGAAGTTTCAGTCCGTAGTAGTTTCAATTGAAAATTATGCACAGATTGGTCCGATTATAATAGTAATAGTAATAATAATAATAATTTTAAATAATAGTACTAATAATATGACCTAGTTTGTTTTCAAAATTTTCATTTCGTTTATTACGTTTTTATGTATCATTGAAGGTTTCACGGCTGAAAGCTAACGGCTGATTGATAAATTATTTCTAGTTACATACAGAAATATACATACATAAATGGCAAGGTTACAGCTATAAACAGGGTTAACACGAAGTTATTAATGTTTCTTTGGTTAGTAAAATTACGCTATATCCATAGATCGATCGACCCTTTCCCAAATTTCTTTTCTCAACTGAAAAAGCAAACAAACATGATTACTTCCATCAAATAAACTTTCAGTACAATATAATATCATGCAGTTCAGCGACAGACCTTTTTTGATCTGTGATCTCCGGCGAGATCGAGAGATTTTTTCATGTATTCCAGCTATTTGGACAATAATTGTCACGTATCCTGGGGAACGATTTTTCAAAACTCAAAAAGACACTTCCGTCGTTTCACGATAAACGCATCTAAACGTCATTCAGTACAATACGTAGGCTCAAAATCGCAGGTCATTCTGCTTTAATGGCACAGAACCACCAGCTTTGAGGGCTACCCTGTTCTGCGATTGAGTTGAAGACCTCTCAGTGTCCATGGTCGTGCACTCGCCCTCAATTGTTTTGCTCAGGGTGTCTGTCGCGGACCAATTTTCAGGTACTGATTTGTCAGCCATTGCACCCTATTAGATGCTATGGCTCCATCAAATTGTTTTCAATTAGATGTTTTGGTAGACAGACTAAATAAGACGAATTTTGATTGAAAGCTGACCTCCCATTTCAGAAAAATAGAAAAACTAAACTGTAAAAAATTTCGAATCTTTCGTTGGATGTTTTCGAAATTTTTCTCTACGTGATTTTTGTTTCTAAATCACTAAAAGATCATTTGTTTTGTTTTTTTCAAAACATTTTTGTCCTATCTTTGAAATTTTATTGAAAAAGAAATTTGCCATTTTTACACATACGAGAACGAGTGTCTTGAAATTGTTGGTTTTCATTTCTCTGGGAAATGCTATTGGCTGACCTCTTCAATTGTTGTAGAAAGTCTAAATAGGAAAATACATTTATGTTTTTTGGTTGTCGCGGCTGAGCAATCACAGCGGGAAGCGATACGGAACGCAAAAGTGGCTACACTTGAATCTGATTTCAGTCTTGTGAATGTATTGTTCGATCGTGAATGGCGGCGACCACCTCGACCGCAAGTCACGTACAGATGACATCACGAACAGCTATAAAGAACAGAAGTTGTCAATCACTCAGCTCCCACACCTCAGATCTAGACTCGTGTGGTGAGTCAGACTCCGCAGAAATTCCCTCAGTAGCAGTAAAAGCAGAATACGAAGAGAATAGGGGGGACGAGGAAACAGACGTGGGCAGCCCGATCCAGAGTGCGCTTCTGCACAACTACACAAGAGCTGCAGGCAGGGAAGTGGGCAATCTTTTCGTAGACACTAGCACAGTAACATCCCAGTTGAGCCAGTCGTTAGTTACTGGAGGAGGGGTGGCTAACTCGGCGATAGGTTTGCATGTAAGTCATGCTCTTTTACTTCTATCTATCTATCTCTATCGATCTATCTATACTTCTATCTATATCTACATCTATCTATCTATCTATCTATCTATCTATACTTCTATCTATATCTATCTATCTATCTATATCTATGTATCTATCTATCTATACTATATTTAAATGCGAGTGTCAGCTATCTCCCATGTTTAAGTATAATAATTTTGCATGTTTAACGAAAATGTTTTTCATGTTTAAGCTATATCGTATATTGCAATGTTAAAAAAATTTTCAATTAGTTTTCCGCAAGGTCATTAATTTTCAGTAATTTTTTGCGAGGCTAAATTAGGTCTCTGTCTGCCTGTTTACCTGCTTTTTTAATTAATTTGATTATGGCTGTCTACCCGTCTCCTAATTTTTTAACTTTCATCTATCTATCATATATTTACATGCGGGCTTCACTATCTCGCCATGTTTAGGCTTTTTCAACGTATTATTTTTGCATGTTTAACAAAAGAATTGTTTCACGTTTAAGATTTATCGTATATTGCAATGGTCAAGATTTTGTTTTTGATTTCCCAGTTCAAATTCAGTGTTTATTTCATCAAGTTTGAAATTAACAACCTAATAGTGTGATCTTGTTAGATATATGAATAACCAAATCCTTTTTAGTTTACGAGATAGGCAATTTTCGAGATTTTTCAAAAATTTCTTGAAAATTAATTTAAAAAAATTTCTCAGTTTTTGATATTCTCACCCTGTAGTTAGGTGCTGTCAGGTTACTCTCAGGGGTTGCGAATCTTGCCTCTAAGTCTCCTTTCTCAAATCATTGGAGTTTTCGAGATATGACGTTTTTAAAGGATTTTTTTTTCAAAGTTTTTCAGAAAACTTAGATATAAAAATTTTCACCTGATTTGATATTCGCATCTCTGTTGCTAGGCTCTGTCAAGGTACTCTCAGGAATTGCGAACTTTGCCTCCAAATATGACTGCTCAAATCCTTGTAGTTTTCGAAATACGACGTTTTTTAGGATTTTCTCCGAAATTTAAAAAAAACTTGGATGTTTAAAAATTCCAAAACGTTGAAGATCTCAATCCTGTTATTGGAATCTGTGAGGGTGCTCTCAGGGGATGCGATTCTTGCCACTGATTATAGTTGCTCAAATTCTTGTAGTTTTCGAGATATTACGTTTTATAGGATTTTCTCAAAATTTTTCAGAGAACGTAGATATAAAAAATTTCACAAAACTTTACCATCTATGTAGTGAAAGGTACACTCTGTCAAGGTACACTCAGAAGGTGCGATTTTCGCCTCCAAATATGACTGCTCAAATCCTTTTAGATTACGAGATAAACAATTTTCGAGATTTTTCAAAAATTTCTTGAAAAATTAATTTAAAATTTTTTTTCAGTTTTTGATATTCTCACCCTGGAGTTAGGTGCTGTCAGGTTACTCTCAGGGGTTGCGAATCTTGCCTCCAAGTCTCACTTCTCAAATCCTTGTAGTTTTCGAGATATGACGTTTTTTTAATGATTTTCTCCGAAATTAAAAAAAAAACTTGGATGTTAAAAACTTCCAAAACGTTGAAGATCTTAATCCTGTTATTGGAATCTGTGAGGGTACTTTCAGGTTTTGCGAATTTTGCCTCCAAATATGACTGCTCAAAACCTTGCAGTTTTCCAGATATGACGTTTTATGTGATTTTTTCAAAAAAAATTTCATGAAAAATAATTTTTTTTTTCAAAGTTCGCGAAAAATTCCCAACCTGTAGTTGGGGGTAGTCAGAGTAATCTCAGGGTTTGCAAATTCGGCCTCCAATTAAGAATACCCAAATCTTTTTAGTAAAAGAGATGAGCCGATTTATATGGTTTTTTGGAAATTTTCAGAAAACTCAAGTTACAACATAATTCACTAAAGTGAAATTCCCAACCCTGTAGTTGTGTGCTGTCAGAGTAATTTCAAAGATTGTGAATATTGCCATCAAATAAGACTGCTGAAATCTTGTTAGTTTTTGAGATGTGAAATTATTCTAGTTCTCAAGTAATACTTTTTTTTTGAAAACTTAAGGTGAAGTTTCTCAAAGTTTGAATTTCCCAACGTTGTAGTTGGGTACTATAAGAGTACTCTCAAAATTTGCAAATCTTGCGTCCAAATGCGACTGCTCAATTGCTTTTAGTTTCCCAGATCTGACGTTTCTTAGTTCATTTTAAATTTTTTGTAGAACTTTTATAGAACTTCACAAAATTTTATGGTTCTTCAAAATTTGTTTAAAACATTTGAATAAAAAACTTTGCAAAATTTGTAATTACGAACCTTGTAATTGGGTGCTGTCAGAGTACACTTGAAGAATGCAGATCTTTTTTCCAAAATATGCGGTTTATTATGAGTACCGGAGGTGCGTTACACGCTAGTACTTTTTAAACCTGTTTTTAAAAGCCTATCAATATTCAGGTGTTTAAAATTGAATATGCAATTTGGTGGTTTATTTTTCGCATTTCTGAATTGAGTTTTTTAGCATAGCCAACAATTTTTTGAGAAACATTGAGCTGCTTGGTTGATGGTGTTGGCATTGATAAAGTTTCCTAATGACTCTTGATGTTTTCAATTGGTTTTCCATGTATTTTGTCTAGCTGGTGCAAGTTGGCAATGGACAGCTAGCTCTGACGATGCAGTCCTCCCCATCCCCGTCTGTCTCTGCTGCTGCACACGCGCACCTCATGGCATCCTCCAAGTCACCCCCTATGCCTCTGGGACATCACAATCCCCTCTCACCTGGCAACGCAGTCTCTATCTCTCCCCCGCAGTCACTCTCGCTGGCCAATTTTGTTTCCGGATCACTTTCTGGTAAAAAAAAATTCAATTAGCGCTGATAAAGAAATAAAAAATTGATTATACGTGAAAAAGACAAATAAATGCTCATGCCCGACGAACACAAAAAATCGTTATTCAATGCAAGAGATGATTAGTCTTTTAGGTTCTTTGTGTTCTTTTCAGTAGTTAGAACAATAATATAAACAAGATGAACGGCTGAATCAATTTCGAAACAGTAAGGTTAATCAAAAATCAGTATCTCTCAGATTATGTTTGTTATGCTAGTCTGACATGATTTTGTATATCCTGGCATGACATTGCATCGCATAGGCATACCGGCAACATCAGTGCCCATCTCGACTATCAGAAGCAATCTACACCACCATATATCTGCAATGGTGCCCGCTGCTCAAACCCACCATCTAACTCATCCGCACCACCCCCACTCTCACCTGCACGGCCTATCCTCCTCGATCAGCGTGGCCTCTGCTGTAGCTGCTGCTTCTAGCAATGCATCCAAGCTCATCACTTCGTTGCCCCTCCACAACCTCGACTCCTCCGCCGCAGCTGCTGTGGTGTCGTCCTCAATGCTGCTCAACTCAAACAAGCTACTCCGCAATTCTCCCACAGAGTCCCTCGGCTCATCTTTCTTGTCGTGAGTGTTTTTTTTTTACTTCGAGAGTTGTTTTCCATTGGGTATAAGTAACAAGAATTATCTGGTTATTGGTTCAGAAATCGAGTCGCTATGAAACTACTAGACGCGACAAACGTGTGAATGCCGATGGTGAATTTTTTAAACTTTCTGCTAGCCCTATTGTTCTGTTTCGAAGCTGCTTGTCTTACGATCAATTTAACTCACGGTCTTCCTGTCAATTTAAATTAAGCTTTATTTTTTTTTAAGAAATGACGATTGCAATACTTTTTTGCAGCTCCGCTGGCGGAGTAATGGGAGGAGTCGGGGAACTAGGTGTGGATGTGTCCTCCTCCGGTGGGGGCCATGGGAGCGACAATCAGCACTCGAGTGACACCTCCCCCATATCAAATAACGGGGGGTCACTCAATCAGCTTCAGCAGCCCCCCATATCTCTATCCTCGACCCCCCTTCCTCTCCCGCCACACAGCTCACAGCAGTCACACGTGTTGTCACAGTCCCACGATATCAAAGGTACTCGAATCATTTGTGCTGCTAACATGCTCACTTTCTTTAAAATTCAAGTTTAACTATAAGCAACTCAACAATTGCATGTATAATTAAAGAGTTTCATTTTTTTCCGCTGTTCGTTTTCGGCTTCAGGTTTTGTCCGCTCAAGCTCTGTCGGTTTAGTTTCCGAATTCTGTATAACACCGTGAATAAACTACCAATTAAGCTTTCGTGGATCTTATGTGGTAGGTGGTGCATGCAATTATTTTCCATTTGATTCTTTTTTGCTGAAAATTTTTTATCGACTTTCGGCTTCTTTGGTGTCGGCTTTAATTCTGTCGGCTTTTTACCTAATATAATATTTTATCAAAAATTTCAGTGCGTGTGGTTTTTGAGGTTGAGGTAAACTTTCTAATGCTCAAAATTGACCCCGCAAAGAATCTCGTTATAAATTTCAAATTAAATTTATACAAGATAAAGTTTCTTTCTGATTGTTTACGTAGTTCAGACTCTTATATTGGTCCAGATTTTTTTTCAGCGAAAGTCTTAAAATTTGTTCGGGCACAAATTAATTTTTTTGCTACTTGACTGTTGATTTTTTAAACTTAAGTTCATTTGCTTTGTTAAAAGGAATGCACACAAATTCCACTATCGAACAGCGAAAGTGTAAAGGTCGCAAAAACGCGATCAACTTCTAATTTCGAAAGTTGAAATCATTTATCAGATTTCCCGGCAAAAAAAAAATTTCCTTGTAAGAATTTTTCAAAAACGAGTATTTTTTGTGTACTTTTCTTCATTGACTCTTTTCCAACTGTCTGTTGGCTATGTTTTTCCACTAGCGAGTTTTAGTGTATTAGTGCGAACTTTTTTTAAACTTATTTGGTGTCAATTTTGCTATAATTAGGATCTGTAGCATCGGAAATTTCGTTGCATTTGTTCGCTGCTTTTTTGTGGCTAGTGTTTGTGATGTATTAAGCGTCTCTGACAGAGTGCTTATTATGTGAGACTCATAATCTCTAGGTCTAAGATCAAATCCGAGACGTAGCCAAGTTTTACGAATTTGAGGCTTTTTCTACTTTCTGATTGCACTTTACAGAGCCGCTTTTGTCGTGTACTCGCTAGTGTTTACGAATAGCAGTTTCGCCTCTGTGTAAAGTTTTTTCAGCTTTCTAGTTCCTTCATTTGTAACCTGTTTCGGAATCCTCATCGCTACTTGAGAGTCATGATATTTTCGTTATAATTTGTTGTTGCAGAAATTGTTGAAAGGGTCGCCATTTTTTGGAGTATGTTTTTTAAAAATTATTACAGAAGTAAAGCCTGTTATATAGTATGAATTCTCTTCGGCTTCAGGTTCTCTTTGTCGACGCAAAATTTGTTGCGACAAAATGTGTTCATTTTGAAAGTGTTCATTTTGATCATTAACCAGCTATTAAGTACAGCCAATGTTAAGATATTAGCACAGACTATTATATACAAATAGCACTTTAGCTTCTATGTATCATGGATCTGTAGCGTAGAGGTAGGGAAGGAGACTTGCAACAAAATAAGAGGGTTCGAATATCGGCAGCGTCGGATGTATTTAATGAACTTTTTCGTATACCAGTTAAAATGCGTCCGCGCTATAAACTGAGGCGTGCTAGTTGGTTAATTACTTTTTTTCAAGTTGACTGGTACTGCTAATGCGTCATTAGTGGCTTGCGTCTTTAGCAATTATGTAGACTCATTATTGGCGTGCGTCACTTAAGAAATTTTGTGGACTCAAAGGTTTACTCATTCAGCTTTTCCCAGTAGGATTATCGGCCATGTTTTTGCTTGCGTATGTGAAGTGCAACTTCGCCTCTGTGTTAAATTGTTCTTCGGTTTTCTTGCTTCTTAACCTTTTTTGTAAAGAACGATTCTTTAAATAAAATTCAATGTTCCTTCTGCGCAATTGGTGCGGTGGTAGCAACCTTGCTTGTGACGACAAAGTCCTATTATTCGATTCCATCCAGACCTTTTTTAAAACTGAAGACGTTCGTCTGCCCCTTTTTGTGGTCTTAGTTCGCAGAGAATGGACTCTTGGGATTTTGGCTTTTTCTAATATTCCGAATACCATTTGTTACCCTTGCGATAAGCAAGGGTATTGCAGCTGGGTACTAGAATTTTGTCCATCATTTCAATAACACCATGGTTAGTGTAGTGTGTAGTAGTTGCGTATTAGGTATGTGCTTTGGATGCCTATCAAGGTTTTTTGAGAGTATTTCTTGAGGTGGCGTACCATCTTTTCGAAAATTTTCGGTAGAATTTTGGCGCTAGAAGAGGTCGGTTTCAATTTCGTCGGCTTAATTTCCGAAGTTTTTTTTCAATTAATTTTCTTCGGTATTATTTGAGAGTGATTGATTTCTTGTATGAAATTTTGAAAAATTTAAATCACAACCTAGATTTGGTTAAACAAGTGAAAATTAAATCGTAAAAAAATTCCATAAGTTTTTTGAATTTGATTTTTTTTTTCAGTTCAAGAATAAAATTGGGTAAAGACTTTGTTGATTTTGGTTGTTTGAGCGGCTGTATTTTAGCAGACTTTTTTGTGCAGATAAGGTGCAATAGCTCATTAGTTTTTTGAGGTTTTCGACATTTGGTTTTTTTTCGCATTGAATACTAACCCATTTTTTAAAGGTAGACATTTCATTTGAAACACGTGGAGCAAGAAATCGTCAAATCCTCTCAAATCAGAATTGAACAAACTCAATTTTTTTGGTAATTTTGTTCAAACTTACATGATAATTTTGTTGTTGAGCTGTGCTAACTTGATTTGCTGTCTGCTTTATTTCCTGATACACTGGTTGTATTCTTTAGTTTTGCGTAGTTTCAATCTTTTTTATCAATATTTAATTGCGTTTTTCGATTGAGTTTTTCAATTTTTTTCTTTCTGATAACTTTCGTCTGATCGGAGTTTCTTTTTTTTGGAATTTAACTCGGCGTTTGTTTTCGGCTTTTGAAAATAGTTTGATTATTCTTAGACAGTGTCTTTATCTGTTGTTTTGGTTCTAGCATAACGAACTGAAATTGTTCGGTATTTGTATATCTTCGTCTTATCTGAAAGAAAAAACAGAATTAGCTTTTTCTTATCAGTGTGCTGTTTACAAATGGTTTCATCGCGTCTTCTGCATAGCAGGTAGGTTTTAAACGTCAGTTGTAGTCAAACTGATATTGATGCTTGTTTATTTTTCAAAAACGTTTCGCTACAATTTTCCTTTCGTACAATTTTCCTACAGTTTTGAGTTGTTTCGGATTTGTTGATCAATTTCATATTTTTTTGACAAAAAAATGATTTTGAGATTTTTTTTTTCAATATTTTTGATTTGTCGTTTCATCTGTCCGTGATCATAATCATCCCATTTTGTATCGTAGTTGGTGCGAATCTCTGCTTCTTCTCTGTGTTTCTTGGAATTTTTCAAATAGTTTGTTTTGAATGAATTCACATTTTTTTGCATTTCAGTGGATCATAATTTACACAGTTAGTTCAAGTACAGAAAGTTTGTGTTAATCAAAATAATAGGAGAAAATGACAGAGTTAAATCGTGATTGCATTTCGTTTATTTCAGGCTACCTTCTGCAGGACTCCTCACTCATCCCGCAGTCCATGAACACATTGTCTCTATTCGCACCCCTTCCTCGTGAGTAAATTTGGCAGACAATATATCAGCTCATATCTTGTTCCCAGTTTGATTTGAGCAAAATGATAATTGATTAAGTGACAGGGTTTTTTAAGTGTTATTGGACAAAGAGATTAATTACTTGATTAGGTCGCGTTTTTGTTTTTATTTAGAGTGAGTCTTAACATTTGTTCACGCTCAAAATTTTTGCGGTTTGATTTTAGGTTTCTTTTTATGTCCAATTCATTCATTTGCTAGATGGAAGGCATATCAAGTTTTTCGATTATAACTGGCGGGAAAAAATGTAAATTAGTTTTAGTTCTGGTGTTTAAATTAATGATTTAGCGGCTTGAATTTTTTATATTTCACTTCAAAATGAACATTTTCATTCAAAAGTGTTTTAAGAGTCATTGAACAAAATGAAGACTCTTGTTACAGGTATTGATGTTATTTTTTTAGGAAAAAGTAATGAAACTTGTTCACGCTCAAATTTAATTTTTCGAGGTTTGACACAGATTTTTCAGCTCATTTCCTTGGTTAAAAGGAAGGTCAACCCCACGATCGAACAGCAAATCTATAAAGGTCTCGATATAATTGATCGACTTTTAGTTTTGAAAATGGATTTTAATTTTCAAATTTCCCAGCGGAACAAAAAAAATGCCGTTTCGACGCAGTTCTCTTAAATGGGGTTATTTTTATCAAGTGTCTTGTAATCGGGTGGAACTTGACTTTTTCCATTAACAGTTTCGTACAATTCTTACTTGCTCTATAAAAAGTAATGAACGTTGTGAAGACCCTTATGTAGGTCTTGGTGAGTTTTCTTTGTTTTTTTTTCAGGGAAAGGTCTAAAAATGCTCTAATAACTAAAGATGTGCATTCATACATATTGATGCATTTATGAATGCACTTATGTATATATGTACCTTTTGAATTCAATTGAAATTCAATATGCACTATGTATATATGCATTTTTTGAGAATTCAATTGAAAATTCATCTGCCGAAAGTGACGTAAGTAGCACTCTCCAAAAACGAACGTGGAATTGACGCGAAAAAACGTGAATTATTTCTAGTTTCGAAAGTGGAATTTAATTTTTAGATTTCCAGCGGAATGACTATACCTATTGATCCAGTTTTCTCTAGTTGGGTTCATGTTTCCAAAAAAGCGCCAATAATAAATTTTGCTCGAATTTCAACGATCTTAAACGGCATCTACTTTTTTTAAGCTCGAAAATTGAGATTTTTTCAAGTTTTTTTTTTCTGTTTACTTGCATTCATCACTCTTTTACAAAGGTAAGTTGGCTATAGTTATTGAATCTTGACAACATCCAGGCTCGTTCTCACTTAGCCTAGACGGAACGCGGTTCTCTGCACACTCTAGTTTGATGTTCGAGTCCCGGCCGAAACCTTGATTTTTTCAGTATGTATGAAATTGATTTTTTTTTCAGGTCAAAATTGTATTATTATCAGCTCGATTTTTTTCCGGCTAGATTGGTTTCGGCCGGTTTTATATCGTTTTATTGGTCTCATATTGCGTTTTTCGACGAGCGAATCAATTGTGTGTGTATGTGTGTGTGTGTGTGTGTGTGTGTGTGTGTGTGTGTGTGTGCGTGTGTGTGTGTGTGTGTTTTGATGGTAGGGGAACTTCATAATTTTTTATTAGTCTTGAACTTTTTTTGTATTTTTTTTTGTTTCCGCTGCGAAAGTTTTGTTCCGTTGCTAATTTAAAGTTCAAATGTTTTGCTTGGAATATTTGCTTAGAATTCTGCTTCGATATGAACAATATTACTAAATTGTCAGGGATGAGTTTTTTCTTTCAATTTTATTTTTGAGAAGCTTTGGAAAAATTTTGCCCTCTATAATTTTTTTTGATCGAATTTACACAAAAGAAGTTATTGGAAAGGCCGCCTAGTATCGTCTGTGTGTGCCTACTCCATAGTTTTTTCCTTACTTTACACCTCTGTCTACAGCCTCCGAAACAGTCTGTGGTGGGATTTTTTATCCATATTTTGGATTTTTTCGTGTTCTCAAAAACTTCACAACCAAATCTCAAAAACTACCCTGTTTCAATGAAAGAACGGGCGTCGGAAAGATCTCCTGCGCAAGCCTAAGCGCCTACGTCAAAATTATTTTTTAAACAGAGTTATGGCCCTCGGAGTAGTCAAAACTTTGATCTTTTGACCGCTTTTTGTTGAATATTTGTTTTTTCTGCAAAACTACCCCCCAAATCTGATTTGGGCTCAATTTAAAAAATAGGTTGCGTGAATTTCTTCTGAAAGAGTGGCTACGCTGAAATTATTTTTCTCAAAAAAAAGCTATGATTTTCATAAATGTCAATTTTTTATATTTGGTGACAGTTTTTTTGGACTTTTCTCGATAACCATCCTGCCAAATCTGATATTAAAGGTTTAATCGAAACAGCAAGTTGTCAAAAGTCTACTTTTAGAGAAAAAAATATATGGCCTCAAAAAATCAAGTTTTGAAACGACCGTATTTTGGAAACTTTTTGACTTCACTCGAAAACTACCGTGCCTATTATCAGGTTAACTGTTCAATCAAAAAACCCGGATTTTAAAATTTTCTTTACTTTTGCGGACACGATCTGCTTTTTTACAGAAAAACTTTTGAGTTTCGGTAAGTTTTGGATTTAGTCAGCATTTTCATCGCAAATGCAATAGTTTTTCATTTACTCTTGTAGTTTGTGAAATAAATAGCCCTTGCGTTGTATATTTTCCTTGGTTTTCTTTTTTGTTTTACTCGGCTTGAATGGTTTCGAATAATGTTTCATTGGTTTTGTTATCTTTTTGTGTAAGTTCAAAGCAAAAAAAAAGTTTAGGTACTCGGTGTTGCAAGACATAAATTTTAAACTTAATTGCTCAAATTTTTTCATGACAACAAATTATGATTGCATTTTTGTTTTCGGCTCACTGACTACCTACTTCGTGTCGGCTTAGTGGTCGCTCGGTAAATCCTCAACGCTTATTCAAGGTTGTTTTTTATAACTGTTTTTTGAAATTGTTCTCATTTTGTGATTTCGTTCTCATTTAATATTCGCTAGCTTGCAATGCTGCGCTTGCATTGTATTGCAACTAATGTGAAGCCCTGTTTCGCCTCTGTGGTATAGTAGTATAATTTTGTGTTTTGAGCTAGTGAGATAAGTGCATGAATTTTTTTAGAAGTAATTTTTTCGACATTTTTCTATTTGCTTTGGACAAAAATGTTAAAAATATATATTTTCGATGTTTTTTGACTATTTTTCTACGTCTTAACGGCTTTGGTTTCATTTTCTGCCCGTTACAGTTTCAATGCAATTGATTTTATGTGGTATCGAAAGTGATACGAAGCTCCGTTTTTGAGTCTGTGTTGATGTTAGTTTCGCAAATGAAACCTAGGACCACTTCGTCATAGTGTTCAGTTTATCTCCGATTTTGATTCATATTATTACTGGCCGATCAATTAAATTGTTTAGCGAATTCAGTATCGCCACTGCCGCAGCACTCTCTCCAAATGGGCGGAGGGGGAAATAACGGGGGCTCACACTCGGACGTGGGACAGTCCAATGGACCTGATGGGGCGAAGAAGCGAGAGATGCGACTTTACAAGAACAGGTTTTTCCATCCTTCTTTTTTGTTACCACGGTTTATTTGCGAGAAAAAGTATCAACATACGAGCTGTTCCCTCTTTACGGAGATCCGCTGTTGTGCCCTTTAATAACAGCTACATGCAATTTTTAAATTTTCTGTGCTGGGCAATGCTGCTTGAATCAAACAACGAGCTTGGATTTTGCTGGGCCGCGAAACACCTGCCATTCGATTGAAAGGCGAAATCTTGGTCACTTTGCTCCGTTGGTATCTACTTTCAGTACCTCGGAAGGAACCAGCGTAGTTATTTTTATGGACTATTGATGTTCGATGTTTGTATAGGAATGAATTCATTTCAGGGAAGCTGCTCGGGAGTGTCGTCGAAAGAAGAAAGAGTATCTGCGCTGTCTGGAGAACAGAGTACAACTATTAGAGAGTCAGAACAAATCCCTCATCGAGGAACTCCGGCTTCTGAAGGAACATTATCAGGCCAAAGAACACCAGCTGTACTCGACCTCATCTGGATCATCCACCGCAACCACTGCCGCTGGAGCGTCAAGAGGAGCTGAGCATCTCGAGGACACGTTGACGTCACGTGACAATGGCGTTGTTCCGGTGTCGCCGCCACCCGCCAAGCAGTTGCATCTCATGGAGTCCTCGAAGGAGATGTACGCCCAAAATAGTCCTATTGACGACGATGATGAGGACGACGACTCGACATGAGAGCTAAAATTTCCAATTTAGTGTTTTGTTGTTGGCTCAGTTTTGTAGTTCCTTTCCTGTGTCAGACCATGAGTTCGATCTGGAACAGTTTACACTGATAATATGCACAGCAAAAAATGACGGATTATCAAGCTGATTATAAAAGTCCTAAAAAAATCTGACACAGTTTCTAGCTTTGAGGCGCTTCATTTTAGCAGAGTGCTGTTTTCTCGCCAATTGCAATTGATCTCTGAGTGAAATGTTAGCTGCCGTTCCATCTTAGTACCTAATATTACTTCTAGAAGAAACTTGCCAAAACCTGTTGTGGATCAATGTGAAGAAAATATATCTGAAATGTGGTCAAGTTAAAGCAGCTCGCAGACACGCTTTCCCAGGTGGGTTCTCGGTTTCTTGGACCTATTGATGGTTAAATTAAATTGAAACCTGCAAAATATTAGCTTCTCGGTTCGTACGAGTGGCTGTTCAACTTCTCTATTGCGAGCTGGTTGATACTCCGAAAACAGTTTTTCCACTTATCTGCACTATCTAAATGTTGCTAAATGTTTTCTCATCCGATCTTCTGAATATTGCAATGTCTCTTGTTCGCTCTGAAGAACTTGCAGGTCTGTTCTGCGTATCGCATAGCAGACTTGGCATTTCTGGCTGAGCTCAAACTCCTCGTAACTGTCTAATAAATGTTCCTTTCTTTCTCGCGTAGCATAGAATTTAATTGATAATCTTAGAATACAAATCATACCAAAAGTGCAACTGTAAAATAATCATGTAGTGTATCTTGGCACAAGAATAGCCGGTTGCTGCGTTATTGGCCCATAATAATCACTTGAATTTTTTCGAATCTGGTTTTAGTTCGTAATTTCAACTTATTTTTTCTCGGCACTCCGAAAACTTTCGAAATTTCGATAGAATAACGACTGAATTACTGCCACTCAACTGCCATGTAATGTTTATTTGCTGTGCCTGACTTGAAAATTAGACACTTGGAATCTAAGTGCCTTTCCATTTTGTCGGAACAGAATTTATTGGAATTGGAATATTAAAGTTAAGGAATCCCTCGATTGCATAAAGGAATTAATCGCATCCCTGTGGTATTCGAATTTACCAGCAGTGTCACTTTTGCTGCTGATTTGACCTTGTTTCTGTTTATGATAACTGTAGACGCTTTAGTACTTATGTGCATTGGTTAATTACATCAATCCATCTCCCGTCCTTATCTGTTTCGAATCACGTCCAATCTTAAATGTGTTTAGCCCTAGCTCATTCGACCACACGGAAGCTTGAAATCGAGAAAAAACTTAGTCTTTTTCTTGATTTACAAGCAGTTTGGTGTGAATGTTGATCAATGGAGCTATTCTTATCCTATTTGTACGAACTTTTATTTTATTCGACCTGCAAAGTAGTAGATTATATATTTTTCACTTATCTGTTGACCTTCAAATCAATTCATATTTCAAAATCTATTTTTTAATTGGCAGAACAAAAAGCTATAGTCATATGCGCAAACTAAGGGCAAATTTGGTGTAAACGTTGAAAAGATGTTAAAAAATTTGGCGTTCGATAGTAATATGAAAGATTCAGCATTCTTTATAAAAAATCGACAAATAAACTAGGTGAAGGCATTTCTATAGGTAGTGTGGATTTTTCGTTTTTTTTCGCGCTTATCACGCTAAAATTTTGTTAACGCTCATTTGATTTTGTTCACGCTTGATTAATTTTCAGTGGAGTTAAAATTCATTTGCTAAAAGGAAGGCAAAAAATGATCTCGAACAATAAGTGCAAAGGGCGCTAAAAACGCAAATTCTCTCATGATCCAGTTTTCTCTAAATTGGGTTAGAAAAAAGGCTAATCATAAATCAATTTTGAAATTCAAAGAGCTCGGGCGATATTTTCAAAATTTCATGTTTTTTTTTGCGAAAATGTGGAAAAAGTCTTTCTGCAAATGAAAGGCAAATTCTGATCATTGAAAACAAACTGTTTAAAGGTAAAATGTTTGAAATGCGAGAAAGAAATCTTTTAATATCCTGGAAATTGGGTTGATTTTTTTCTGGAAGTGTCAATGATGATAGAATTTCTAGGAGCTTTCAAGTGATTACATTTGCAAGAGCAAGTTTCTTTTAATCGGCAACGACGTTTTTTCCAGTGACCACATTTTCGTACAAATCTGTAAGAAATTGAACTTGCTTTGTTATTGATTTTTACCAACTTCCAGGCACCTTCTTACTTGTTCTAGAGATTACGCGGTTGCCTTTGGATCCTATTGTCGGGGGCTCGAGTTGTTTTCTACCCTTGCGATAAAGAAAAGTTTTGCATTCGGTACTATTTCCTGTAAATAGCTTTCTTCACAGGACTCGTCTCCTGGAATGAAGCATTTGCAGGACTCCTCAGTATTGGAGCTTTACTGAAACCATCATATTTTGAGCATGTCTGTATTTTTCCTCATTTTCGAAATCTGATTTTTATGCTGGTTAAGAGTCGGTGAATGTTTTTCAGACTCTTTTATAGGTCGCGATGTTTTTTTTTTCGTTTTTAGTAAAATTCGTTCAGGCTCTAATTTACTTTTTCGCGGTTTGACTTTTGATTTCTTTTTCAGTTAGTTTATTTCCTTTGTTAAAAGGAAGGCAAACTCCAATATGGATCAGCAAAACGTTGAAAGTGATGAAAAACGCGATCGACTTCTAGTTTCGCAAGTGGAATTTAATTTCTGATTTCCCAGCAAAGTAAAAAATTTTTCTTTTTGATCCAGTTTTCTCAAATCGGTTTATTTTTATCGAGAAATCGCTCATCATAATTGAGTTAGTTTTATTACGTTAGTTTATCAAAAAACAAAGAACTTGTTTTTGAAATTCAATACCTTCATGGCCACTTGTTTTTAAATTTGAAAGTTGATTTTTTTTCATCAACAAGCCAGCTTTTACCTGTTTACTTGCGTTCATTGACTCTTTTCAAACTGTTTCTTGGCTATGTTTGTAGTTTACCCATATTGTTTTTTCCTTTTTGTTCGGCTTCGTCATAAACTATATCGTTTTAGTGGTTTCGTATTGTGTCGTTTGATGAGCTGAATACTTTTCGTGTGCTTGTGTGAGGAGGAGCAATACGTGAAAACTTTTTTATTTCGGCTTGAAGGGTTTCTCTATTGTTTTTGGTCTTGTTACCGATTGGTAATTTTCTCCCGATGCTGATCGATTTGTATTTTTTAAAATTACAGGCTATTGTTCTGTATAGCAAGTGGTGCGAAGCTCTGCTTCTCCTCGGTGTATTTTTTTCCCATAATATGGGGTTCGATTTGCATTTTTTTGTAATTTCTATCTGGGATAAATTGAATTGCCAGGTATTCATTCTGAAAATGTTTTTGGCTTAGTTTTCACACTACGGATTTTTTTCTGCTTTAAAAAATTCTCACTGTTAATTCTCACAGCACGTCCTGTTATTTCGTCAGATTATCACCCCGGGTGTGGTATAAGTTTTTGTTGTTATTTTTATTCGATTAATGGTCCGGTTTATGTCTTATTGGCTCTATCAACTTATTTTGTCCCATGACTTGACTTTTTTCCATTCCTCGGTTGGCTCGGTTTTTTTTTTCAGCGAAAGTCAGTCTCAAGATTGATTTTTCGCGTTTTGATCGATTGTTTTCAGTCTCATTTTTTGTTAAAAAGAAGGCAAATTCCACTATCTAACAGCAAACGATTAAGATCTCGAAAACGTAATTAACTCAAGATTCGAAAGTGGATTTTAACTTTTACCCTTTGCTATCGGGTAGTTGGCTTTTTTCTGTAAATAACTCTTGGACTCATTCATATCCTGGTCTCTTTTGGAAATTCTGCAACGGACATATTTTGAGCTGAGTAGTTGTTTACCCTTGCGATTTGTTCTATTCGAAATTGTTTTTAGGTTGGTTGTAGTTTTAGTTTTAGCAACTTGTTTTTTTATTTCATTTTTTTCTTTTAAATAGGTTCCGTTTCATGTGATATCGGGTTATTGGCCTCATATTGCGTCGTTTGATGTGCGAAAAAGTTTTTGTGTGCGTGTGTGTAGGTTCTTTCGGTTTTTCCTGTTTTTAAACGCATTTTTTTTTATTTGGGAGGGTTTTTTGGGCTAATTTTTAGAGCATGTGTTTTGTTCCAATTTAAACAGTTTTTCTTCATACACCTGAAAATTCAGTACTTTGTAATTTTACCAAGTCCTGTTTTGTGTCAAATTTTCCCGTTGAATAAAAAAATTTAATTTTCGATCCGTTTTTCCCAAAAACAAACGAGCTTTTTGTTTTGTTTTCTTGCATTCATTAACTTATTTCAAACTATCTGTTGGCTATGTTTTTAGTTTCCCAATCTTGATTTGTTGAAATTTCGTTTTCGCGTTTCGATCGATTGTTTTCAGTTTAGTTTTTTGTTAAAAAGAAGGCAAACTCCACTATCTAACAGCAAATGTTTAAGATCTCGAAAACGTAATTAACTCTAGTTTCGAAAGTGGATATTATTTTCAACCCTTGCGATAAGCCAGATTATTACAATCGGGTACTTGGCTTTTTTTTGTAAGTAACTCTTGGACTCATTCATATCCTGGAAATTCTGCAATAAACATATTTTAAGCATATTAGTTTTTTACCCTTGCGATAAGCAAGTGTTTTGCTTAAATATTTGTTCTATTCGAAATCGTTTTTAGGTTGGTTGTAGTTTTAGTTTTAGCCGCTTGTTTTTTAGTTCATTTTTTTTCTGGTTTAAATAGGTTCCGTTCAATGTGATATCGGGTTATTGGCTGCATATTGCGTCGTTTGATGAGCGAAAAAAGTTTTTGTGTGCGTATGTAGGTTCTTCCGGTTTTTAAACGCAATTTCTTTTTATTGGGTAGGGTTTTTGCGCTAATTTTTAGAGCATGTGTTTTGTTCCAATTTAAACAGTTTTTCTTCATACACCTGAAAATTCAGTACTTACCAAGTCCTGTTTTGGGTTATTTTTTTGCATGTAGCATAGTTTCGAGGCTAAATATTTTCGCATGTGATTATGTGATTCAGTTTGGATGAGTCGTAAGTTTTTTTTTCATGATTTATGAAATTTTTTATGACAACATTTTTGTTTTTGATTAAAACATGTTTGGACCCAAAATTTGTTGCTGATCGGTTTTTGATTTTTTATTCATTTTAAGGCTGTTTATGGACTTTTCTTACAACCATGAAGTTTTTGTAGCTGTATCTGTTTTAACTTTTCAAGTTTTTTCTTCAAGTAGTTTTTCAGCTGATTTTTTCTGTGCTGAATTTTTTCGGCTTAAAGGGTTTTATGCTTGGTAAGTTTATTTTTGATGCTAATTTTACTTTTATTACCTTGTTTTTTTGAAAACTTGTTTATTAATTTTGATAGATCTAGTTTTTTTGACATTTTGATTTTTTTCTCAGCTGCTTTTTGTATTGTATCACAAAAGGTTGGAAGCTCGGCTTCCCCTTTGTGTCAAATTTTCCCGTTGAATAAAAAATTTACTTTTTGATTCATTTTTCTCAAAAACAAACCAGCTTTTTGTTTTGTTTTCTTGCGTTCATTGACTTTTTTCAAAGTATCTGTTGGCTATGTTTGTAGATTCCCAATCTTGATTTGTTGAAATTTCGTTTTACTTTTGCTCGGCTTAAAATAGTTTAATTCAGTCGTATAATTTTTACTTTGAAGTATTTTTTTCTGATTACTTGCGTTTTTTTTACTCTTTTCCAACTGTCTGTTGGCTGTTTTTTTTAGTGCTGGTTCAGTTAATTTGACGTAGTGAATGCGAAGTATCTATGGCCTAGGATAAAAAGGGAGCGAATTGTCGAAAAGCACAAAATTGTCTCAGTGTCGAAAAAAAGTTTCCAATCATCCCGTTTGAGGAGTAGGAGTCTGAATTTACTTTTTATTTTAGATTAGAAAGTAAATTTGGTTTCCATGTAATATTATTTTTTCGCCCCTTTATCGAGAAAAATGACGCAAAGTTTTCAAAAAGTTGAAAAATTTTAAAATTAGAATTTTCAAATTTTTTTATTGCCATTCAAAAAGTACCGTGGTTGGAACGTTTTATGCCACTTGCACAGCAACCGAAAACATATTGAAATAAATAAAGAATTGTAAGGATACAAAAGCAAGAAATTGATGGCAAAGTCGATGAAGTGAAAATTGTGCCAAGAACTTTATTATAAGATTTTTGTGCGGAACTCTGCAAACAGGCCGTCAGAATTGAAAGTGGTTGGAATAGATGGCCATAGTATGGTTGGTCATGAATTTAAAAGATTAACCAGTTTGATGTTTTTTCAGCAAAGCTTCTTTTCAGATTAAAATGAGGCTAATTTGGTTGCTTGATTCTTGATTGCTCGATAGATTTTTTTGTTAGTTGACTTAGCAAGCCACCATTATAGCACTAGCTTGGGACTTTGATAAAATGTAAAACAGAAAAGTCTTCAATGTACCGTTTACGCTTGCTATTCTTGGTGCTTACGTGTGATAAAACGATGGTAGCTTCAGTAAAAATAACTATGTTGCTTTTTCTGATTTGAAACCAAATACTGTTTTATTCATTTGCTTCAATTTACTTCATTCATTATTTTTGTGCTGCTGGATCGTTTTTCGACTTGCTTTTTGTTCAACGCTTTGCCTTCTCGTTTGAAAACAGCTGCATTTTATACAAAACAGTTTAATCACAATTTATATTCCACATCTTCGCATTATAGTCGAGCAGTTACCTGTGTTTAATTCTAACGATTATTTTTCCACGGTTTATTTACCTCGATTTGAACGTATTATTTACCTCTTTTCGTTCATTTTTGTTTGCGGCCGTTAAGATTTTCTCAAATTTAGTGCCAAATTATTGAAATTCAGTCCAGTAAAAATTCACAACTGTGAAACATGCTCAACCCAGAAGATAGCGAGGTGGACAGACCAATGTCTGCTGGATCTGCAGCCAGACAACAGAAACTGGATATGCAAAAAAAAATCATGGAGCAGAAAATGGCCAAAAAATCACGAGGAATGCTGATGCCAACTAATCCACAAGCCAATATCTCTGGAGTATCCGGGCGTACGCCAGAATTGCCATCTCATAATCCAAAAACAGCCAAAAGAGTTGACGTTAGTTCAGTGGCTGACCCCGAAAACCGAAATGCATATCACAACCCCACAATTAGTTCAGTTACTATTATGCCAGTTTCGGCTTCGTCTGACGTCGATTTCGATGACGAGAGTTCGGTTAATGACGTCACAACTAGCTCAAATTCAACACTGGATGGAGGCGAGACTCCGCGTGACAGACAAAAATACGCAGATGTAGTCGATTATGAATCTAGTTCACAGAAAAGACCGAATGATGTCCAGACAAATGGGACCGAGTCTCCCGAAGTTGTGCCGATAGATGATGACAGCGGTGACAAGGAGAACGCGGGAGATCTGGGCGACAGTGCCATGGATTTGGAACTGCCTCTCGTTTTGCAGCCCTCGTCTCGTGAGCTGGAAGAGTTTGTGTTCAAGCCGTGTCCAGAAAGACACACGATTAAGTGTAGGATTACTAGAGATAAAAAGGGAGTGGATCGAGGTATGTTTCCTACGTACTTTCTCCACTTTGAAAGAGACGATGGGACGAAAACTTTCCTGTTGGCGGGGAGGAAACGAAAGAAGAGTAAAGTTTCGAATTACTTAATATCTACAGACCCAACTGATCTATCCAAAGGTACTGAAAGTTACACCGGAAAAGTCAAATCAAACATGGTCGGAACAAAGTTCACCATTTTCGACAACGCATCGAAACCTGGAGGACTGATATCGTCCACAGAAGGGGGCAAAAACAGACAGGAACTGTGTGCTGTTTTGTACGAGACGAACATTTTCGGGTTTAAGGGTCCGAGAAAAATGAGTGTGGTCATCCCAGGCATGACAGTAGATTTTGAACGAGTTGTCATCCACCCTAAAAACGACAGCGACTCACTTCTGAAGAGATATGAAGAAAAAAACCTGCAGAATCTTCTCGTGTTGCATAACAAGTCGCCAGTGTGGAACGAAGAGACGCAAAGCTATGTTTTGAATTTCCATGGTCGAGTGACGCAAGCGTCGGTGAAGAACTTCCAGATTGTGCATCCACAAAGCCAAGAGTATATTGTGATGCAGTTTGGAAGAGTCTCGGATGACGTATTCACTCTGGACTACAGGTACCCAATGTGTGCAGTCCAGGCCTTTGGCATAGCACTCAGCAGTTTCGACAACAAACTGGCCTGCGAGTAGTAAAAACGAATCACGGATTAAGAAGTTATACTTTTACGTAATTAATACTGATTAACAGAACTAGAACTGCTAGGAACAGCTGTATAGTTGATTGAATCCAGAGTCATGTTATTCTGAGTCAAGTTTTTCAAAATCGGTGATAATATTTTGAGATAGAAAATTCATTTTGTCAAACGAAGATTACAGAGACAAAATATTTGAAATAATGACCTTTGAAATACTTTGATTACACTTGCGAGAGCAAGTGTGTTGTATAAAAAGTGTGGTGAGAAAAAAAGAGATAATTTGACTTCAAATATCTATGCAATATTCCGCGCATACATTATACTCAGTAAAAGCATCGAAAATGTAACAGTATTATGAGTTCCTATTACTTTTGCAATCGGATCAAATTCTTCCTAAAGTTTGACTATGGTCAGTTTCTTTTAAATCTGTGTCAAACCCTATTTTGCATTGTAAACCAAATTGATGAGAAGCTAAATTATTTCGTTGCTTTAAATTTCCCATTTCGATTCAGATCTGATTTGCAATTTGATTGTTCTTTGCATTTTAAGTCCTGGCGTTGTTGATCTAGTCGGTTTTTGGAGACACAAAGATGAAGGTAATGTTGCAGAGGTGTCTTAATTGAGAAGTTCAGTTTATACCTTGACAGTTTTGAGTGGCAAGGAAATAAAATATAAGTTCTGGGCTGCTACCCATTTTGGTAAGCTTTAAGTAAATATATTTAATGTGAAAATCGTAATATAATTTTAGCAAAGGCTAAAAACGTGGTGTTGTTTTAACCGTGTCACAAATGTATTTTACTGATTTTTGTGATCTTGTACCGACTAAATCGACTCCGCATAGTTTTCTTGAGCCATTTTACTTGTGCTATAATTCCGTGTTAATGCATTCATATCTGTCTTTCAGGTTTTAATATCATGCATGCTTTCACGCACAATGTCAAAAGTGTTCTTAAACACCAGAGTTTTTAAAGTGTTCTTGCTCTGTTTTCAGAATTGAATCAGTCTAATAATGTTGAAAGAACGCTTTTGTGGCAGTTTTAGAGTTCTTTGTAAATAAGGAGTTTAGTAGTTTTGTGTGTAATTCAATTTTCTGTAATAATCAAAGTTTTGTTTTGGTCAATCTGTACTATTTCGTTCCTTGAAAAGAAAATGGGAAGTCATTACCCTTGCGATACGCAAGGGTGTTGCATTCGGGTATAAGACCTTTTTTCCAGCAAATAACGGGAATCATCTGGACTTGTGCACGAGACTCATCTGGACTCGTCTCTAGTGGTACTTTATTTCATAATTAATTCAGTTTTCTCAGCGTACCGGGCCCAGGTAGCCTGGAGGCAACGAATACGGAAGGGACGGCAAAGACCATGGGTTCAAATCTGACCTGGAGCAGTTTTTTTTCAAAAGGGAAATATCCTGTTTCAAATAATTTGTCGGCCGATTATTTGTCTGATAACTTTTTGTCGGCTTATTTGCCACATCTTTGAATTGTTTTTTTTTGCTGCGCGCAAATTTCTGCAACGCTGCTTTTGGTGTTTGATTTTTTCCTGTAATTTAATTACCTTGTTTTAATTTTGGGCTCAGTGACCTAATTTTGGTCATTTCTCTTTAGTGTTGCTTGGTTGTATGTTTACGAATCGGTTTGTTGAAATTAATTTTTTTCGTTATGGAATTTTTTTAAAAAAAACTTATTGGAAAATTTAGTTTTTCTCAAAAACTTATACTGATTTTCAAAAAAGGGATATCAATTGAAAGGCTGCCTCCTCCCCTGTAAACTTGCATACTCCTGTAGAGTCTCTTTTTATTTGACCTCGGCCCCTCTGTCTACAGCCGTCGAAAAAGTATACGGGGGATTATTTGATACGGGGTACCCATATATTTGATTTTTTTTTCGTTTTCTCGGAAACTATTCCTCTCAGATCTGAGTTTTTGCTTTCAATGAAACGAGCGGTATTAAAAAGCGTCTTGTATAAGCGGTTACGCCCATTTTTTTACATAAAGTTATGACCCTCGGAATAGTCAAATTTTCGATTATTGTTCGTTTTGTGACTCTTTCACTTTTCTCGAAAACTAACTTCTCAAATCTGATACTGTGGGTTCAATAGAGATAACGGACAGTAGAAGCTCCCCTGCATTAGTGGCCACTCACGAAGTTTTTTTACACAAAGTTATTGGCCTCGGAAAAGTCAAATGTTTAATTTTTTGACCCTTTTTAATTTTTTTGAATTTTCTCGAAACTACCCTGCCATATCTGAGATTTTGGGTTCAATTCAAAGAACTGGTTACGGGAAGCTCGTTTGTTTGGGCGACTGCGCCCAAAATTTTCTGACATCAAAAGTTATGGCTCGGAAAAGTCTAATTTTTTTGGCAGTTTTATTGAAAGTTCTTGATTTTTCTCGAGAACTACTCTCTTAAATTTTAGATTTTGGGTGCAGTCGAAATCACAGGTTGCGTAAATCCCTTCTGTTTAAGCGGCTACGCCCTATTTTTACACAAAAAGCTATGATTCTCGGAAATGTCAAATTTTTGATGTGTTGACCGTTTTTTGGATTTTTCTCGCTAACTATCGTGCCAAATCTAGTATCACAGGTTTAACCGAAACAACAGGCTGTTGAAAGCCTACCTTTAATATTGGCTGGTCCCAGTTTTTTAAGAAAAACTCCTGTTTGATTTATTAAACAGGTATTATGAAAACGTTTTTTTTTCCAGATGAGATCTGGTTTTTTTTTTTTTTTTTTTTTTTTTTTTGAGACGCTTTTTCGAAAAATTCGCTTTCCCAAAAAACTACCCGTCAGATTCTCATAAAAGTGGTACCAATGGATTCAATAGCGTTTCACCTACCTGCCTGCATGAAATTTAGGGCAATTTTTACCCTACCCCACCCCCTACGGTCTTAGAAAAGCTTCACAACTCGGTACTTTTTTCACTTTTTGCCCATTTTTTCGGAAATTTTCTATTTCCTCAAAAACTACCCGTCCAGATTTGGGATTAAGGGTTTAATCGATAGAGCAGGTTGTAGGAAACTCCCATGCACAAGCGGCTGGTCCCTAATTTGCTTAGGGGAAGAGCTATAGACTAAGGAAAAGTCATTTTTTTGATTTTTTTTGCCTATTTTTCAGAAATTATCGATTTCCTCAAAAACTACCCATCCAGATTTGGAATTAAGGGTTTAATCGATAGACCAGGTTGTAGGAAACTCCCCCGCACAAGCGGCTGGTCCTTAACTTGCCTAGGGGAAGAGCTATAGACTTAGGAAAAGTCACTTTTTTGACTTTTTTGGCCTTTTTTCAAATCTTTCCGATTTCCTCAAAAACTACCCGTCCAGATTTGGGATTAAGGGTTTAATCGATAGACCAGGTTGTAGGAACCCCCCTACACAAACGGCTCGTCCCTAATTTGTCTAGGGGAAGAGCTATACACTTAGGAATAGTCAATTTTTCGGTTTTTAGGCCATTTTTTCAAACTTTTTCGATTTCTTCAAAAACTACCCATCCAGATTTGGGATTAAGGGTTTAATCGATAGACCAGGTTGTAGTAAACTCCCCTGCCCAAGCGGCTGGTCCTTATTTTGTCTCGGGGAAGAGCTGTACACTTAGGAAAAGTTTTTTTGAAAGTTTTTTTGGCATTGGAACAAAGATTCAATATACTTATTGTGTGTATTTTTTAGACAATGGAATCCGCTATGCTTACGTTTTCTCGCTTTTGCTTGGTGCTATTGGCTTTGTGTTGAGTTTTTTTGTATGGTTCGAAGAAGTCCAACGAGAAGTTGCACGAGTTACGCTAGTTCTCTTTAATCAGGTCGGTTTGTTCCAGAACGTTTTTGTGATGTCAGTTATAGTCAACATATTATAGTCATATTTGCAATGCTTGGACAAAATTTAATTAATTCGAAAATTAAAGAATCGTTAGAAAAATGAAAAATACTTTATTTCATTAATGTTAGCTGGTTTGTGAAACACACATTTCACTTAATTCTAGTGAATAATTATTCAGATTGTTGAAGCATTGTGCATATGATTTTATTTTTCTCTAGATCAGGTACATTCCTCACCAAATCCTGAGTGATTTCAATTTTTCTCTTCATTGATAATATCATGAAAGTATCTGTTCTATGAAGTATTTGTTCTGTTCGATGAATCACTAATTTCACTTAAGGCTCACTTAAGTATGATTGATGGTCATGTGCTTTTTGCACATTTTTCCAGTATGTTTGGATAGTTGTTTAATGCCTTTTATCATAACAATCAGAATTGATTCTATCGTGAGTTTGTTTGATCAACAACGACACAGAAACACCTTTTTCTTCTGGGATTTACGTCGCAGGTGCTTTCTTGAATTCCACCATGTTGTCTTTGCTAGCAAGCATACCCGCTAGGGGCCCTTCTCACAACTGGGAAATTTCCGCTAATTATATGACTGATCAGAAACTTCCAGACTTTGAGTGTTGCATTTGTGAGAAGGTTGGGGAGCAAAGTGCATCCGGGTCCTCGTCCCGTTCCCTGGGCAGAATTGTATAGGGAAACACCTATGGACTTGAAAAGTTCCCTCATGAAAACTTTTTACCAAAGCGTTACCAATGAATGCATAAGCTTCTCTTTCACTTTTTTTGCGTAGGAAGGGCGCTATCGACTTGAGAAACCGGAAATTTTAAAACAATTTTAAAATAATCAATATTAAAATAATCAAACAGGTCTCTCCAGCTTTCAGCTGGGCCCCTAGTGTTGTGGCCTTAAAACAAGTCAAAGTTTTGAAATTTTCACAGTTTTTTGGAAAACTACCATGCCAATTCTCAGGTTCAATCGAGAAACCCGGCCTTGGGAATCTTCTCTGATTAGGTGGTCACAACCTGCTTTTGAAAAATCTTTTGACCGTCTTATAGATTTTGTTCACCGTTGCTTAGAAACTTTTCGAATTTTCTTAAAACGTACACAATAAAATCTGAGATGAAAAGTTCAGTTGAAAGAACCGGTTGCAATAACTGTTCCTGCAGAAGCACCTCCTTACTTTTTGTAAGAGAAAAGTTATATCTCAAAATTTATTCGTTCTTCTCAGTTATTTAAGTAGAAACAACTAAGGTTTTGGAAAAGTCCAATTTTTGGAATCACATTTTTCTTGCCGGATCAGTGTAGCATTTTCATTAAATATCAAACTTTATCATCAGCTTTAGCTGGGCCCCTAGTTGTTTTTTATCGAGACATACGAAAATTTTGGACTTAATATTTTATGTTTGTATTGTATCGCATGTGGTGCGAAGCTCCGCTTCCCCTCTTGAGTGTTTTTTTTTAGTACTCGGTTCGCTGAACTTTCATTTTTTTTCTGCTTAAAAGGTTTCGGTTTGTTTTCTATCGGCTCAGTAGCCTCTTTTGGCGTCGTTTGATGGGCTAAAAAGTTTAAGCTTGCCTGTGTGTTGTGAGGGGAAAAGTGAAGTAAAAATTTTTAATTTATTTTGAATTTGAAAAATGTTGGTTCATGTATTTTCGGCTTTATCGTATTTTTTGTTTTTCGTCTAATTTCGAGCTAGTAACACGATCGAATAACGCTCTTAAATGGGAATGTTTGGTTGTTTCCTCTCCAATAATAACCTGGAGAAATAACCTCTCCAGCTTTTAATGGTGTTTTCACATTTGCAAAAGCAAGTGTCTTGTAAATTGGGAACTAGATTTTTCCCGGAAACAATTTCCTTACATCTGAAGTTGAAACTGAAGTTAAATTATTTGTGAATGCTAGCTACTTCCTGACTGCTTCCCACTTAGTCTAGAGGTAACGCGGTTTTCTCTGTATCATAAGGTTTGGGATTCGAGCTTTGTATGAAATTATTTTAAAAAATTCCGGGAAAATTTGAATTGTCTGACTTTTGTTTGTCTACTTATGTTTTGTCGGGTTAGTTGCCACATCGGGAATTTTTGTTTGCGGTCAGCAGTTTTTTGTCCTAGACGCAAGTAGTTTTGATGTCTTCCTGGATTTTATAACTTTAAAAGCCTTGAGTTGGTTTAATTTATTTCTGCTTTTGTTTGGCTTAAAAGCTTCATTCGGCCTAAATGTTCATTCGGTCTAAAACTCAGTATCTTGTTTATAACC